TGTATATTACAATATAAGTATATATGCCTGACCGCTCCAGGCCGATCTATGCTCAAATTATTATAGAATAGTATATTTTGTAACAAGTGCGCGAAGCAGTTGACTCATCCAGGAGTTGTTTTCACCCGAGCGTAGCGAGGGTGCAAAGACTCCTGGGTTAGCAACTTCCTCGCGGACTAGTTGCAAACGATATTTTTTAACTCTGCTTGCGAGAAACTAGGGTTTTCTGACGCTTTAAGGTTAGAAAACCCGTGTTTCGCGCACGCAGTGTTAAAAAAAAATTTTTTTACGCACGTGACACAACACCATTGTCTATCCGTAACCAGTTTCGTTCATGCGTGCGTGAGTGTATCTGCTGTTCACGTAGTGAATCGACACCGGGCTGCCTTCCCGTCTACCCTTGCTGTTTTGGAATTGTGTCTGGCCTTATTTCTCTCGATTCAACCATCCCGAGTCTGCGAAATATAAGTCGCCTAGATCTCTCTCTCTCTCTCTCTCTCTCTCCCTCGGTGTCGACAGCGAGGGGTGCATTCGCGCTTCTTCTATACTTCCACGCGACGTTTACCGTCTCTGGCGGCAAACAATTGTGACTGCGCGCGGACTGCACTACCCTCGACCATTCATGCGTGGACTCGGCGTGTACATGAGGTGTGGGCCGGGTCGACCGGTGGCCCATATTCGATCGATGGAGGACCTCGCTTTGCTTGAACTACAAGAGCGCCACGGCCCTGGTCAGCACATGAGTGGGAATCGTGGTGCACCACTTCAGGACATGGAACCGCTGACTTCTGACTTCGGCCCTAGTTCTCAGACTTCTTCATGAATCTCTTCATAAATCCGCTCACTTGCATTCGTCTTTCTTCTTACTCTGTTCTTTTTCTTTTTCTGCTCTAAATCTCATCCACCTTTCTCCTCCTATGAACTTCTATTCACGTTTCACCCCTCAATAGTTTCTACTCGCTCCTCTAGCCACATTTCCAAAGTCATTCCTTATTCGTCTTCATCTCACTGTCATCTCATTATAAGCCTGCTAAATAATTCACCGTTAATCCTCCGTTAATCCTCCTTTACTTCGATATCTTTCATTAGTATGCTTCTTACCCTGTTGCTCCTTTCCTCTCACGGTGCGGCGGACCGAGTGGCTGCGGCGGTATGGATTGTGGGACTCGTACTTGCCCCTCCGTTTACCCTCAAAATTGAGAGATACTCAGTGCCAAGAACTGTGATACAGCGGCACACTTGCTGCTATGACTACTACCATCTACGTTCTAGACTGATTTTCACAAATGTTAATATTCCTTTGCTTCTGTTATACTTGGTGTTAAAATGTTTTACTGACTAAATTGTCTCTGTAAATTGCCGTTGGGCCCCATGTGGTTATACCTCAGGGCCCCAATAAATACACTAATCAATCAATCAATCTCTCTCTCTCTATCTATCTCTCTCGTTTTTAATCATCTACCAGTGACGCTTAATCTCAAGCTCCAGCGCATGGCCAATGCCGGTGTTCGATTCATTTTCAATATGAGAGCCTCTGACCATTCATCGGTCACTCGTCGGAGAGAACAGCTTGGTTGGAGTAGAGTTGAGGACAGGCGTTTTTTCTTGCTCTGCTGTGCTGTTTATAATATTTTTCGGACGGGCCTGCCTCTTCCACTGTATAAAAAAATGTCTTCTCTCACTATCGAGCTGCGTAGCTCGGCGAGGCTGAATGTTGGTGCCAGAATCTACATTCCAAATAGCGATACTTCGGCATATGCTGCTTCATTTTTCCAGGATGCAGCACGATGCTGGAATACCCTCTCTTACAGCGCTCAAAATGCATCTTCTTTGACACGTTTTAAGACATTGGTGTTGGACGAGTTGCGCAGTCGTGTTAATTAAGGAGTATCACCCATTGTCATCCATTGTACTTCATTTTTCCATTTAGATTCATGTTTTTCATCTTTTCATTCTTATTGTCATTGTTATAAATCAGAAATGTACTTTTCGTTCTATACTTAGGAAACCAAAGATATTTTATAGCCTGAAATCTACGATAATCTACGATAATCTATGTAATTTACGATGATCTATGTATGTATGTCCCTTGTTTTTTTGTTATCTTGTTAAATTTGATGTTAAACTTTTTCATGCGTTTATCTTGGTGTATTCACCGATGATAAATTGTTGTTGCGATTATTATGTTACGTTATTACTGTATCAGTTTTTATTTTATTTTACTGTTGAAAATTCTATTGTAATAATTAATTATTTACAAAATTGTATTATTCTATGTATTTGTCTGTGAGGCATACGGCATTCCCTTGCCTAATAAACACGATTCAATTCAATTCTCTCTCTCTCTGTGAGTATAGCAACACGTACTTCTTTCTGCTCCTCTGTTTTTTTTGCTTTTTGTACTGCCTCGACCTGCCTACGGGCATTTTTCTTGCAGATTCTTGCACAACAATTTTGCAAGGGTTAACTGCATCTGGATCACTGGTGTTGTTGTTTCCCTTGCATTGTTAAAAACGCTTCTTCATCGTCTACTGCTGCTTAACAAGGTTAGTTTACCGCAACGTGTATTCGAGATCTTTCGCATGCGACGTACTGCTCTTGCGCATCGCTTGTTCGCCGATCAACGTCTAGGGTGAAGGAAGAGCCAAATCTTCTCTAACGAGTGCCATTCGATGTTAGCTGTTCGTCACCCCTGAGTTTCTGTCAACCTCTCAGCAACCTTTCAACCTATTGCCGTGTCTTATTGCCGAGTGTTGTGACTGTAATCTACGGTAATTGGTGTTGTCAATTTTGTGGAGATCCAGTGTACTAACTAATTCGACTGCACCGTCTGCTGTGAAGTCTATAGATACGTATTGAGACAGTTTTCCTGCAAAAATGACGAGCACCGGTGCTTCACTGCAGCACGAGCTCCCTCCTCAACTTGCTGACTTCTTTCTGCGTCTGGACACGAAGCTTGACAACCTCTCAGCACACCTTGTGACCATCGAAGCCTCGATGTCCCGGCTTGAAGGCCGGATTGTGGCTCTTGAGACGCGGACGGAGCAGCAGACCACTGAAATGGCCGATATCCGCGCTGACATCGTCGAATTGAAGAAATTTGCTAGCTCTGGCTCTGTCTCTGGCCCTGCTCCTGTCCTGCTTAACTTACTGCCTTCACCGGCTGGTTCACATCTGTCAGACCCGTGTGAGATCCTACTCACTGGACTCCCGACAGATGCGAGTTTGACTGACATGGAGGCTCTCGACAAAGTCTTCTCTGGAATAGGACTTAAAAACTATAGTAGGTTCTTGGTGCATACTCGTGCTTGGAGCCCCAAAAACAGATGCAAATCCACGCCTAACAACACCAGAGCATTTGTGTTCAAACTGTCGTCTTCAAGTACTCGAGACCACTGCATAATGAATGCGTCCAAGCTAGCCTCAATAAATACTAGTACACTTTTCGGAGTGGGTAATGGCAAAGTGAAATTGCGACCCTTGTGGCCAAGTGAACTTCACAATTTGTTGAGGAAAGCCTATGATGCAGCTCAAAGGCTGAACTTTGCTCCACCAATAGTGCGAAATCTCATAGTTTTTATGCGTGAAGCCAATGATTCAAAACCTATCCCCGTTTCAACCGAACAAGACATCAGAGCGTTAAAGGCGAGACTGAGATGATGACATCCATGCAACGTTACACCATAATATACTCATTTTTGCGACAACTACTGTATACTACTAACACTGCTGCTACTAGTGCTATTATATACTATTGATACTACTCATATGTGCCACTACCACTATATACTGCTTCTACTGCGACTATTATTGTTACTACATTTACATTCTATTATTCACACACATTTATACTGCTTAGACGCTATGTACCACTACTTGTTACTTCACTCTACTTAACTATAGCTTATTATTAATAGTTGCTGATATTACCAATATCAGAAATTTTATACATATATGTAAATACCACGGTGTCGGATGGGGTTTACCCTGTGGCCGAATAAAGTTATTCAATCAATCAATCAATCATTGTGCGCCTCTTTTTATAATGTCTATAAGTTAAATCTCTCTCGACTTGCCCCGTATAGCCCTGTACCCACGAGTCCTACATGAAATTTTTTCAAAGGCTTTACCCGAGCCTTCTACGCTCTTAAAAAAAATTCACTAGATATTAGTATTTTAACGTTTTTTTTAAATAGAATCCCATTATCTCAAAAGGCCCCATCTTAAATTATCACCAAATTATGAGGAACAATAGTTTTTGAGTTGTAAAATCGAGTGGCATACCTAATTTAGGTACGCGTGCTATTTAAAAATAATTATATACGATATAAAAATAAGTTTTGCTCGCGCATATTGTTGTTTTTCAGGGCATTTTAATCAAATTGCTCGTGGCATATCAATAAATTATATGATAATTGGGTTCAATCTTAAAGTTAATTATCGAACTTGGTCTCGTTAACACTGAATACCACAATCATTTACCGTTTCTGCTTCTTTGACGGGAGAAAATTCTGGTGTGAGACTTTGATGCGTAAATGTTAGTATTTAATTTTCTTTTGTTTTGCAATCAACCTCGTTTTCGGGTATCAACTTGAGCGGATTTCTGTTGACTTTCGGCATAAGCAAGAACTCCTAAAGAAAAAAGTTTTTTTACACGGCGTGAGTGATTCGAAAACTCTTGAGCATTTTCATGGTGTAAACGACTGAGTCACGCGAATTGAAGGTCAACGATCACCCTGTGCAATCTTTGACTTGCTCATCGACGGCTCAATACATAACAAAGGGCAGGAATAGCCGTTTCTAGGACAATTAAAATTACAAGTAAAGTTTCAACTGATTTATTTAAAAACGGAAGATTTTCAATTTTAATTATTTATACGTCAATGAAAAATTTATTCAGGCATAAAAAAAGATTAGTGTATGAGCTTCCATACTAAAGAAGCTATCATGAAATCTAAGAGATATAATGATAATCATTTTTTGTAATAATAAACATCATGTTCGGTGAGATATTTAATAGTGTACCGGAAAAATACGATTCAAATTAATAAGAACTTTAAATTATTATACCACATTAAAAACACTTTTTGATGACGTCCGATAAATCAAATGTTAAGCGATTTTATAGAAGTTTTACTAATATACTAAAAAATTTGATATCGTGCGTCAACAGATTACGTTTTATTTTCAACATTAACTTGAAAAATTTTTTAAGTTCGTTGACTAATCAAATCATAATTGAATGAACATGTTTATTATCTACTCAAACAAACATTTTCAATTTTTCAATTCGCAACATTTATTTTACTGATGATCAATTTCGTTCATTTCGGTGATATCGTTAATAGGCACTATTAAATTGTCCTTTGACATCAAATTATACTTAGTTACAAATACTGTAAATCTGAAACAATCAAATTGAATTATTAAAAGTGAGTAAAAATAGTTTTTTCTATGTATATTGAAAAAATTAAACAGTAATTATATCCTTTAGGGGTATTGAAATTATCATAACTTATAGAATGAAAATATCTGCAGTACACTTTTTCAAATAAATCTATAGGAAAACTAATTAGATTCGAAGAATTGTATTCCATATAATAAGAAATTTGCAGATTTCGAACCACAAAAAATTAATTAATATATTTTGGAGTTACGCTTGCAGTTTTCTGTACAACTTGCTTCCGTAATAACCATCAATGAAGTCCAGAGACAATTACTACCAATTTGTGGAATTTTTTTTTTTTTTTTTTTTTTTTTTTTTTTTTTTTTTTTTTCTCTCTCCTTACACCTTCTTAGAAGGGCCTGCAGGGGGTTAGGAGCCCGTGCGCAGGGAGATTTAACTACCCCCCTCCCTACTGTCCCGCATTCGCCCAGACCCGAAGACCTGTGGGGCAGGGGAAACCTGGGGATATACGTAGTGCATATGCACTACACCCTCCTCCTCCTCCTCCAGGAAAAAACCCGCCCCGGGACAGGCGGAGCACACGGGTTCTCAACCCGCCGAATGGCAATCGGAAAAATCCGATTGCCCTCGCCAGGATTTGAACCCATGGCTCCTCGAGCGATCTATTGTCTCCGAGGCTAGCATGCTAACGACTGAGCCAACGACCGCTCTTTGATTTTCATATTGATTTCGAATTGATTTTCAGAACCTCTACTTGTCACACGGAAAACTGTGTGAGGTTTGAACAATCATTGGTAATTCACTGTTTAAAAAAATCGCTGGATTTCCAGTTGAAAAATCGAGCAGGATTTGACTGGAAATCGAGCTGGATTTGACTGGAAATCTGGACACCAAGAAATTTATCAAATTTCGGGATCGGATATAAAAAAAAACTATACTAGATATTAAAATTTGGTAAAAAGTTCTTGTTTTCAGAACATTCAAACAATGTTTTTTGATATTTATATTGGCTGTATAAAACAAAATGGTGGCTTGGCAGAATTTTCCCTGAGACATCTTTTTTCTTAGTGCTTCGGGTGTGTTAGTGTTTTGGGTGCCATTTTAAAGTTATGAATATAAGACACAAAAATTTCAAAAATATATATGAATGGCTAAAAAAGTACCTGTGATGTTGTTTTTAAGTCAATTTTTTTACAAAATGGCGTCATTTTGAACGAAAAATATAAAAAAACACCAAAAATTCAAGTGAAATTTGTTAATAACTTTTGAGAAAATTAATATATTACAAAAACCCCAGGTACTTCTGTTGAGAAAGCAGTCAGGAATAGACAGCTAAAATTTCAAGTCGATCGAATGAGATAGTTCGAGAAATCTTACCGCCCGATTTAGAAAATGTGAATTCGAGATAAAAGAGTTCAAAGTTTTCAGTAAACGAAAGAAAAAATAAATTAAGAATATCTTTAATCGGCAATTCCGGCACTGTACACTATTCTATACACTATTCGGGCACTTACAGACTAGACTTACGGTAAAAATTTTTACAGGATTTTTGAGGTGTTAAAGGACTCTTTAAGCAAAAAAAAAGAAAAATTAATTTTCAAAAATTCTAGGGTGGTGTACCGCCTTAAGGAGGGAAAGGTACCTTAAACCTATATTTATAAAAAATTTATTAAAAATGAAGAAAAAATTTTTTTTTGGATTATACTGAGAAAACTGTTTTTTTCACTCCTTTTCTAAAGTTTTTTACTCTGGAAAATGAAAATTGAGGTCCCAGTCATTATAGAATCCTCTTCGATGAAGCAAGCCCACAGATCTGACAGGTACCCCTGTGCCGTAGGTTCCAGCTAGAACCGATGGTTCAATCATAGTCCTTGGGGTCTCATTTTGATCATTAGATGTGTGGTTACAAACGCAAGCACTTTCAGATTTTTTAATTAGTTATACACAATTTGCCAGCCACATATACACATTTATTCATTAATATATATGATAAACAGACAGATTATGCTACATCATAGCCTGTAAAAAGTGCTCAGTTGTTCCAATACCTTTAAAAGTGCTTGCGTTTGTAGCCATTCTCATGTAGAACAATCCCTGAAAATTTCAGCTCATTTGTTCAAACGGTTCACATGGAAAGTTACGGCAACAAAGCAATTTGGAGATGAAACGTAACTGTGCAAGAGTTAAAAAAAACAAAAATACACCAGTTTATGTCATAATGATACACTCATGTCACTGAAGCTACTTTAAACTATTTGGACAATAAAAAACAGTTATTCAACTTGAATTTTCAACATATTAGACCCATAAGGACAATGTTCAATTATCCCAGAGAGATACCCAAAGCCATATTTATAAGTTGTACAAAAATGTTAGTATACGCTAATATGGGTTTTATGTGGAAACTGGTAACTAAGTTGATTATGTCCAAATCAACTTTTCACACAAATATACACAATCTCACATTAGAACCTGAACTCAGTCCTCTACTTATTCACTAACATTCATAAAACATTGGATCTATAATTGAAAAAAAATCACTCAAAATTGATCAATTATCACTAATCTTGTTCATCACATTCAACAATATACATGAATAATGTACATGATACAGTCATATACAGTGTATATTATACACATACATAAAGTACAGTGACATACATATACACTGATGTATATATGTCAATTTACATATGTACTGCTGTATTTCTTGAATTTGAACTGCTAAAAATGTCACATTTTCATAAAAAGCTATTGAAACATCATCATAGATTTATTATGAAACACTATGTCAAGTTGCAAAGATATAACTTCACTGTACATGTACTTTTTTCACTTTCGAAAAAATGTAATTTTTAGCCATTGGAAAGTCAAGAAGCAGTCAGCAGACTGTTATTGACATTTGATCCGGGCTCGCGCACGAAACAGAGAGAGACAGAAGATATGTTGAAACCCACGTGCTGCGAGTGGTGGCGTTACTGTACACCTATAGTCATGTAAACAAACAAATTTCTGCTAGATATACTCCAACCAAAGAATAAAACGAGTATCAATAAATGGCGCTACCGACTTATGAAAATCTCGAGATTCATGAGAGAATGACAACGATATACCTTTGAGTTGTTTTATTCATTTTTTCTAAATAATCGTAAAAGTAACGGGACTAAATAGGCTGTACATCACGATACAGTTAAAATTTTAAAATTCCGATCACGGCACTGGGAAGCTGAGGAAAAATCCATCAAAAAAGTCAAGAAAAAAAATTTTTTTTTCGGAGATTTTAGGTACCTTTCCCCCCTTAAGAATCTATAAGCTGTTACTACAATCTTAATTACAATTGTGATACATTTATAATGCTTCTAGGCTATAGAGAGAAATCCCTTGTTAATAAATAAAATCTTCATCACACTATGCAACGTGCCTATAGAAATTGTATAGTAAATCTCGTTTGAGTTGTTTTATATATTTCCGGGAAATGTTTCATAATAACTTTTCGACATAATAATATATGTAATTACCTGCGGCATAAATGAGTATCATTTTCAAATTCATCAAATATATTGCGGTGGTGATAATATGCATGAGAAAATATTCTGTAAACTCTCCGACAAACTGAACCAAGTTTGGCCACTGACGATTCTTTAATGCTGACTCTGAAAAATAGAAGAACTAATATATTTTGATACTTGATCTATTGAGAAATTTCGATCATATCTTATGTTGAAACTAGAGATCATATTGTACCGGCTACAAAGAGAAACTCGTTTTAACTCATCGGTCGTTAAGATAATGTGAATTACATCAATTTATTATTATTAGTTCTCTGATTGTAATACTTTTTCAATACGCGAATCGTAGCAGCACGCACGGGTGTATCGTACACGGAGAGAAGTACAATACCAAATATCAACACACTCGCTATCAAATATTGCTATGTTCTCTAGAAAAAGAGCTCCGGAGTTGATAAATATTAATTTTTATTTTGTAAAATAGTAATTTTTAGTGCGGTATGTGATATTTTGTGAATTGGTAAAATTATTTTAAAATAATAATATTCTTGAGTGGCTTCCCGAGATAATTTTACGATTTTTTGTGAGCCCAAAGTATTTGACCTAACCCTGCTTTCTGTGATCATGAAATTATTTTATTTTTCGATATTTACAAACAAAAATTTGCTTGTCTCTAGAAAACTAACCTACCTAAGAGTCGAGTATTCATATTAGCGCAGTTCGCATTGTAAAATTATGCTAGCTATCGGTATTCCAAAAAAATCTGAAAAAATATATGTTATTAAATAACATAAAAAAATACTTTTCAGGAAGTTTTAACCCGAAAAAAATTATTGGAGGTGTCTAGCGACAAATGTGTGTCGAAAAACGTGGCAGGGCCGAAAAGTGTCCCCCATGGCCCAAGTATCATAAAGTACTAAAATAATTTCACTATCCATCAATTATTTTATTATCAATTATTATTATTAATGCTGAGCGAAGCGACGTCGTTTATCCTTTCAGCTCAATTGATTTCGACATATTTTGTGTCAACGGTTTCTAGAGAATATGATATGAATCAAGAATCAAAGAAAAATAGGGAAAACCCTTGTTTGTTGACTCGTATTAAGCTCAATAATGAAGTCTGTTGGTCTGCCGATGATCAAAATTTATCAGAAGTTGTATTTTGATGTATCAATAAAAATATTACAATATTGGCCTAATCGCTAAATATTGAACATGTTTATTTTAAGCCTTTGGACTATTTTCTATAATTTAGGAACTTTGAGGTTATGAATATGATTTTGGATGACAAATTTGAATTCCTCATCAAATTTCACATAAAAAATCATGTTTTAAGAATTTTTTCATATTCACCCTTGGGAAGGAGAATAAGATATGAAAAATCAAATTTCAAAATACACAACTTTCTCACTAACCCATCAGAATCCTAATGTTTATTCTTGCAAAATCGAGAAATACAAATCTTGGTGAAAAATTTCTAATATAAAAAAATTCAAGATTTTTTAATTACCTGCTCGGAAAATATTTATTACTATTCAACAAACAAGCAGCTCCATCTAATGTATGTCTTGTATAATCAATGGCCGGGCATTCTTTTGGAGTCTTATGAGCAGCACATAAGAAAATCCATTGTTCTGTAGCGGTCATTTGAGAACAGTTTTCAGGGTAACACTCAATTTGTAGTTTTACGGCTAAACCATTGAGTTCCATACAAAATTCTCGTAAATGCTCATACTTCCATACTCCTTCATCTTGCGATTCAGGCATTGATAAAATAAGATCGATATTTGCTGGATTAATGCGAATTGTTTGTTGTATGTACTGTTGAACTGCAAGCGTACTATCCATTTCTTCAAAAGGTTCGTCAGGCCATCGATTGAAATCCTAAAAATATTGAAAAATAGTAATTGTCAATCAGGATGTGAAAAAATTAATTTTATTTAAAAGAGAGTTTGATTCAACCTATTGTACGTAATATTTTAAGTATAGGGTTCCCTCGTTATACGCGGGGGTTACGTTCCGAAAAAGTGCCGCGTATAATAAGGGAAAAAGCGGATTGTTACGTTAATAGTATTTTTTATTAAATATATTAATATAAAAATTTTCTCTTCCTCTGAGTAAATTTAGAATTTTTAATTTTTCAGCTAAATTAGTAAATTTCATTTTTCAACTGGCGTTTTGGAAATTTTTCGAGCTTTGGAGCCATACAAGATTATTAAAAAATTTTTTCAACATCCTCGCCCGTTTCGAGAACGGAAGCGCGCTCTAACGGCATTGAAAAGATTCACCGCTATACTGACCGGGACGTATCTCGTGCGCTCTTAGCTCATAACCTAGCATTGATCTATCGAACGAACAAACACCTCCGTTGATCAAGATGAACTTTGAATCTATGTTTGTGAATCGCGATTAATGCTTCACAAACAGTGACAGTGACATTAAAAATACAGATATAAATAAAGAACTGCAAGAATTGGTCGAACAAGCAAAGTCGAACATCATTTCAGTGAAGTCCGCAGCTCTTTGTTTACATGCTAAATAACTTTTTTTTTCATAAATATGGCCGATTCTCTGTCAACACGAATGGCCCAAAAAATTTTTTTTCTGCAAATATGAGAAACTTGTATTTGATGTAAGATTTGTCCAAAAAAATTTTTCGAAAAATTGGGGCCTTCTATGACACTTTTTCAGAGGCCTAAAGTTGGACATTTTAGAGTTTTTTTGAAATTCATGAAAAATCACAAATATTCAAATAATTTCTGGATCAGGGTAGAATGATTCAAAAGTAAAAGTGCCCAGCAACTTTTTTGTTGTAAATTGTCCAAATTTTCAGAAAAAAAGTATGCCAAAGTGATTGGAGCTACAGGCAAACCCCGTTATTCGCGGATTCGGTATTCGCGATTTTCCATATTCGCGGTAACCCTGTTTGTGACCTCACTTCAGTATTCGCGGTATTTTGTTTCCGTATTCGCGGTTTCTTCGCTCAAAGTTAACCTTTTTTTCGCGCAAAACTTTTTTTTAATTATGAATTGCCCTTCGAAGAGGAATAAAAAAGTGCTGAATTTGGTGGAAAAAATCAAAATTTTAGATGCTCTGAAGGAGGGCGAAAAAGTGGCTTTTCTAGCGCGAAGATTTAACGTCAATGAATCTACAATAAGATCGATCATCGATCGATCGAAGCGTCGACGAA